CCCTCCCCTCAATCTTATGACTAGCTGGGAACCAATGGGGGTGATGCTGTGTAGTTTCTGCATCTTGGTCAGAAAAGGTGTTGCAACTTCTACATCGCTTCCTGCAATAATCACTCCTGAAGCTTTCAGCCACCACGTAGCAGCTCAAGTGTCCTGAGGCCACCATGCTGTGAGAAAGCCCAAGCTATCTGAGACAGAGAGACCATATGGAGAAGCCCTGAGATTACTGGGAGAGAGAGAGATGCCTGTCCAGCCCCCACTGTTTTAGTTGCAGCCCTTGACCTTGAGCCAGACCCGCCTAGCTGAGCCCTTCCTGAATTCATGACTCTGTAAACCATGAGTGAAAAACAAGGGATTGCAGTTGTTTTATACCACAAGTTTTAGGGTGATTTTTTTTTTTTTTTTTTTTAGCAATCGTAACTAGAACAGATGGTTAAAGTTATTAACCCCATTATACAGATGAACAAACTGAGACTCAGCAAGGTGAAGTTCCTTGACTCTCCCACCCCTAACAAGTGTTAGAACTGAGATTTGAAGTTGTGTTTGTGCTAAGATCATGTTCTTAAGCTCAGCCTCACTAGATACACTCTACCTACAAGTTTGCATACCTCTCCATGCATGTGCCCACAGTCACTCAAGCACACACCATGGGGCATTTGCACATTGTCTGTGGGCCTGTGTAATTCACAGATTGCAGATGAATGGCCACTTGCATCTGTATGCAGTATAGTGACAAGCAGGGACCCAGGGCCTGGGCTGCTTGAGTTCAAATCCCAGCTCTGTCATCTTCCAGCTGGGTGGCATTGGCAAATAACCTTTGACAGTCTGTGCCTCAGTTTCCTCATTTCTGAAGTGGGGTGAATGATAGTGACCCCACATGGGCATTGTGAGGGTTACATGATTTACTAGATGCAAAACATTTAGAATGCACCCTCTAGCATAAACACCATCAGTAGTCCACAGGGACACAAGTTCTTCCCTGCACACGGAAATTCAAACTCTCACACTCAAAGATGTGTATGTCTCTAAGACAGAGGGCAGAGGGCTGGGAGAAGCAGCCCTGCCAACTGGGATGATGCCATCCCCCCAGCAGCCTCCTCTTAAGTAACAGCCTTTTGCCCACTTCGACTCCAGCCTGTTCTGGGTCAGGGGTTCTCAGGACTGGTTAGGGTGCAGGTTAGGGTGCAGGCCAGGGCAATTCACTCCAGAGTCACAGGAAGGCAAGTCCCTAGCCCTATAGGCCCCCCCCTCAAACTCCCAAGGTCATGAGCACTTAAGAGGCTTATCTTGGAGCAGTAATCTGGGGACAAGTAGGGGAGCCAGTGTCAGGGAGGTAATTATTCCATCCTAGGCAATGCCCAAGTGAAACCTTCTCAGAGAAGGTTTCTCAGACCAGCCCTTCTAAAAATATCCCTCCCCCACCCTTGACCACTGTCCCCTTGTTTTGTTTTGCGTCTTTATTACCTCCAGACATCCACTCACTAACAATTTCTTTTTATCCGTTTATTGTCTGTTCTCTCTCCCCTCCCCCACTACACCACTATGCAGGGCTGAGATTTTTGTCTATTTTGATCACAGCTGTGTTTCCAGCGCCCAGAACAGTGCCTGGCCCTAGTAGGTGCTCAAGAAATATTTGTTGGATGAGGGACGACTCGTGGAGGGAGAGGTGGAAAAGGGACTCCCCCCTCCCCCCATGTGTCTTGGGTCCTCCTCAAGCCTGCAAGTGCAGCTGGAAGGGACGGGCTAGCGGAGATGGTGTAGGGTGAGGGTTCCCAGAAGCCATGCCCACCCCTACATTGCCCTGGGCCTCTTACCCTTGTAGCGTTGCCTGGGGTCACGAGCCAGCTGCACCGCCAGCTCCAGGCCAATTCCTGATGAGCAGCCCGAGATCAGCACAGTCCGGGGAGCAGCAGCCATGTTGATCCCCTGTCTGGACGCGTGACCTCAGCTGGCAGCACCTGACTTCTGCCATCCACCCTTGGCTCATCTGCTCCTTCCCAAGCATCCTCCCACTGACCCCTTGCAGGGCAAAGGGGCCCCGGGGAGACCCCAGTTCTGGACTGACTCTGACGAGGTGCCTGGGGGAATCTCTTCAACTCTCTACACCCTATTCCCTTTATCTGTCAAAAATTTCTTCTCCGCACCTGCTATGCTTATGACTGCTTTTTAAAATTTTTGTTTTTATTATGGCTGTTAATTATTCAGGGCCAGGGAGAGTTTCAGTGTGAGGGATGAGTGGGGCCATTCTCTTACTGTCTGTAAGAATCTCTGACTGGAGGGAGAGAGCGAAAGAAGGTTACAGAGTGTGGGTCCAGGGTCCTTTCCAAGAGGGAATGGGTGCAGGACTGTCAGAAGACAGGGTTAGGCTACAGGAAGAACTTCCCAGCAAGGCAGGACAAGGCAGGACTTTTGTGACAGCCTTTTAGTTGGAGATGTCTCAGCCTCAGATGTCCCTGGAGAGAAGGGAGGAGCCACTTAGAGAAGATTCTCTCTCCTGCCTCCCACCCCGGGGGGCCCCCATCTCCCCCTCAGGCCAGAGGCCACACTCGCTCCTCTCCAGGGACACAAAGACTCTTTGTTTGAGGAGGAGCCAGAGGCTGGGAGCAGGCACTGCCCTCGAGTCTCCTTCTCAGTTGGGGGACAGTGCAGGGTGCAGGATCCGCCCCTTTGATTCCTCCCTGGGGAATTTCCTTCATATCCTGCCTGTCTGCACTTGTGCAATTACACAGAAGCTCTACCCGACCCCCTGGGGCCTTTTCATGGTGGGGGGTAGAAGGTGGGGGCCTCTGCTTCAGCCCAGGAAAGGCAGGAATTCACCCCTTCCCTCCTGGTGGCCGTGCCCTGCTTTAGGGTAGGGCCAGACTCCCTCATCTGATGGGGACTTGTGTGAGGATTTGAGACTGGAGCTAGGGCATTTATTTGGATACCAGAGGAGGGGGAAGGACATGACGGCTAGGGGTGGAGGTGGGACCCTTTACTTGAGAACTGAGAGTTTGGAGGGAAAGCAAAAACTGCATTTTGAAATCTATGGTGAGAGTTTAGGGGTGGGCCAGGAAGCTGAATTCTGGAACTTGTTTTACTTGAGAACTGAGAGTTTGGAGGGAAAGCAAAAACTGCATTTTGAAATCTATGGTGAGGGTTTAGGGGTGGGCCAGGAAGCTGAATTCTGGAACTTGGGTGGAGAGAGGAGGATTTGGGGTGAGTCTGGGAACTCCATTTTGGGATCTGGGGTGAGGCTGGAGGTGATATGAGGACCCCTTACTTAGGGACCTGAAGGGGGGGCTTTGAGGTGAGGCTGGTACCTCCTCTTGTGGGTCTGGGCAGGTGGGTGAGAATGTGGGGTGAGGCTGGGACCCCATTTGGGGGCCTGAGCGACACAGAAAGGATTTGGTGTAAAGCTGTCCCTCCTCCTAATTCCGGGGCCTAGATAGAGGCTGGAGCTTTAAATGAGGCTAAGATCTCCTTTGAGGGGCCTGCTAGGAGGAAAGGGTTTGGGGTAAGGCTGGGACCCCGAATTCTAGGGCTGGATGGGAGTGACCCTTCTCCACTGCGGGCCAGGGCAAGAACGGCCCCGCTGCCGGCCCAGGGCTCCGCCCCGCGCCGGCCAATCAGCGCTCAGCACAAACTTTCCCAACTCCCCCCACCAGCTGTCACCCCTCCACCCCCCTCCGGCGAGCCCCGCCTAGCCCGGGCGCTGGAGCGCAGGGCGAGGCCAGGGCGGGGTCTCGGGCAGTCTCCTGCGGATCCCGAGTGGAGCCGGCGGCCGCGCGTGACTGCGCCGAGCCCGTGGAGTCGCCGCGCCCCGCA